CAGTTGGAGGTAAGGGGGTGTGTGTGTGTGTGTTAGCCAAAGAAAATTTCTGCAGAATAGAAACATGTGCATTGGACTGGAAATTCCCTGCACGAAGGGACTTTGGTTGAGTCTTTGGAAGGTCCTTAGGACCTTTGACAGTGCCTGAGACGCACCAGACTCTAATAGCACCAGACTCTCTAATATATTCATCATAAAGTGGGCTGGTCCACACATTTGCTTTTGGCAATACTCTGCTTGCCCCAAGAACTTGTCCTCTAGATTGGACAACAATTAGCAACCTGGACACAAAAGGAGTAACACCTAACATTTACGGGCTTGGGGTGAGCAGGACAGTCAGCAGACATCATCTACACAACCAGCTAATGTGTCCTCATTTGCCACGGCTGAAGGCCCTGAAAAGGTTAAAGGGCTCACTTCAAAGTCCGCCCACTACATTCCACGCCTTGCTTCCCTAACAGGTACTTCTGAGCATACAGCATGCGAGCCACTGCCCTAAGTGAACGCTTGATAGATGTGATAGCTCTTTAAGACAGTCATTTTACTAATTCACAGATGAGCAAACTGAGGCAGAGAGAAGTAAATTACATGTCGTGCTCAAGGCCCCACAGGGACTAACAGCAATATCTGTTTCACGCAGTCACTCCTCCCACAAAAGGCTCAGAGGGCCCTGATCTCATGGTGGTAGGAGGGTCCTGGTGGAGTTCAGAAGTTTCTGGAAGTTCAGGCTGAGAAATGACACACCTTCACTTCCACCACATTCTATTGGTCGGAACAATTTGCACAGATGGTTCGGATTCAAGGGCTGGGGCAAGAGATACCCCAATCCAGATGGGTGGGGATGTATGTAGCATTCGCTTGAAAAAAGGAGGGGTGAGGCCTCAGAAAGGGAAATGATTATCATCATTTCCGCAACTAATCTACCATGTCATCATTTCTCCAAATAATCTGTTTTGATGTGCCTCCAGCAGCCCCAGCAGAACGCTCACGGCAGGGTCCTATCCCAAGGCAGCTGGGTTTTGTAAATAATGTTTATTCTTTTCAGCTACAAGTGCCTAGTGGAGTGGCGGTGGTAGGGCCCAAATGGTCAGTGAAGCTCAAATCCTTCCCACCTCATCCTTTACAGAGCAAGCTTGCTGACTCCTGATCACATTCTTCCTGTGCTGCAGAAAAGCAAAGCCCAAAGGCTTATTGTAAACCGCACCTGATTTCCACCACACTCTGTGCAGGCTGGCAATACGCTGGACTATGGCAGGCCAATGAAATAAGCACACAAACTGGGAAACCAATGAGAACAATCTAGAGCAGAAACACTAAACAAAAACATCTACCTGTTTCTCCGACATTTACATTTTGGTAGCTTGAGTACCTTTCATTGTCCCATTTTACCCACCTAGTAAAAGAGTCCAACTTTGAAGAACAGACCAGCAAACGAGGTAAGACAGAGACCAGAAGGGCTTTGAAAATAGGCTATTATTACCCTAACGAAACCAGAACTGCCACTCAAGCAGATATATGCACACCAATGTTTATTGTGGTTTTGTTCGCAATAGCAAAGAGTTGGAAACAACCCAAGTGCCCATCAACAAACAAATGGATAGAGAAGCTGTGGCAGTCACAGAATGGAATACTACACTGCATTGGAAAAACAAGGAACTCATGCAATATTATTAAAAATGGGTGACCATGGAGGACATTATGCTGAATGAAATATCTCAATCACAAAAGAACAAATACTGCATAATGTCACTGTAATAAAACAGAACTGACATCAGGGCTGGGGGAAAACTAAGAAAAGAGGGGATAAATGATGTACGCTGCAATGAAACAGATGAGGGAGAGAACTGTTTAAAAGGAATATATGATTAGGTATTATTTGCATGAGAAGAATCCAGAGTAAGAGCTGCATAGTAAAGTGGCCTGGGGGGAGAGGGATTTTATAACAATGAAAGAATTAAAAAAAGAGAGAGAGAGAAGCGAACTGGGGGGAGTGGTAGGCAAGGAGGAAAATGTACAATGAATGAGTGGAAATTGAAGTTCTCTATAAACTTTCAGTAAAATCTCAGTAAAATTTTAAAAAATAGGCTATGATGATGCATTGAAACATAATTCAATTGGATGGGGAAACAAATACCAAACAATATAGTCTCGCTTCCATGACAGTTAAACAGGTGTGAGGGCTTCTTCTATTATTATTATTCCTTCCCACTGTCATTGAGCGATTCGACTCACAGTGACCCTTGGAAACTGCCCTGAGGGTGTCCAAGGCTGTCCTCTTTCTCGAAGCAGGCTGCCTCTACTTTATCCCAGGAAGCAGCTGGTGGGTTTGAATCGCTGGCCTTTTGGTTAGCAGCCAAGCGTTTTAAGCCACCATGCCATCTGGGCTCCTTTTTTTTTTTTCTTTTCCTCCCAATTGGAGACAAAATTAATTTGAGGGCACATTTACACCAAGTAAGATATTCACCATTCCAAGAGCATTAGGTTGATCTTATTTGTGTGCTTATTAAATAACCCTAGTGGTGCAGGGACTAAAGTGCTAAACAAAAGGCCCGCAGTTGGAATCTGTCCATGAGAGAGATATGGGATAGACCTCTGCCGAACAGCTTGGAGCTTCAGAAATGCTATGGGGCCATTCTGCTCTGGTCCACAAGGTCAGTGAGTCGAGAACAACTAGATGGCAGGGAATTTGCTGTTATTTTCTTGAGAGGAAGACTGGTTGTTGCCATAGAAACAACCTAAGCTGGTTAGTGCCACCATGATTCGAGCCGTTATACCTGTTGGGCCACTTAAATCTGTACTTACAGGTTCCTGTTTAACAGGAAAAAGGTAAAAATGTCTCTATATTTCTTTTCAAAATATTTAATACACGCATGGGTAGTATAAACGAAGATTAATGGAGAGGAGACATACATGCGCATGCGCACACTCACGCTAGCCGCCACCAAAGTGGTGGGGAAAGTTACAGGGCTGCCAGCGACTGACTCTCCTGGACATTTTCCTGCCCAGGATGCCCTTCATGTTCATCCTCATCTAGACGGAGGCTATGGGGCCTATTATTTGATTACGTTAAGGGAGCTGAAGGTGGTTTGTTCACCAGTTTAAAGAGAGTTTCAAGCTCTCGGAGATTTGGTCCAATGCTTTTGCAGGGATGCCCCCTTCTGCCGCCACCTGAGGCCACTTTCAACTGGACCACACCATCCTCTCCTTCACACAAAGAAACTGCGACGTGGGTTCTCCTGAAATGGCATACAGCTCAGGGGAGCGTGGGTTCCCATATCAGGAAGTCCCTTGCCTGACTGCTGAGCAGTCAACCAAAGCATCCAAAGGGAACGTGCCCCCCCCCCCTCTCAACACACTGGGTGTCTGTCCTAAAAACGACAAAACGCGTCCTTGCCCGTCCCCAGCTGCCGCTGTCGGATCCAAGTGCCTGGTCACTTATTTCTCATTCAGCTGGGAAGCAGCTATCAGTAAAAAACAACAACAACAAAAAAAAAAAACAAAAAAAACCCAACCACCAGTTGATTTCAACTACTGGTGATCCATGTGTTTCAGAGAGGAACTGCCTACCTTCCACCAGGTTTGCACAACTGTGACCTTTCAGAAACAGAATACCAGGCCTTTCTTCCGAGGCCCCTTTCAGGCCACAGTTGAGTGTATGCAACTTGTGCATCACCCTGGGGACCGCGTGGGAGTAGCGTCAGTATTTACTAAGTATGTTATGCTCGGGAATAGTGGTGCAGTGGTTCAAGCACTCTGCTGCCGACCCAACCCATGAGCAGCTCCAAGGAGGTCAAGAACTGGTGATCGGCTCTGACAGCTTTGGAAACACTGACAGTTCAACTTTGTCACACCAGGTCGCTAGGAGTTGGCATCAGAAATAGCATGACAGAACACAAGAGCAACATGCTCACTAATAGGCAGCCACTCCAACAGCGACGACACCAAATAAACACAGTCTTAAATGAATTTTTGTAAATACCTGTAAGTGCTGATACTGCAAGTAACCATAAAACTCTCACTACTACCTTGGAACCAGACTTGACAATACCAATCTAAATATTCCGCTGGTGTCAAGAACTGTAAAACTGAGAGTTGCTTTGCAGAGAGGCTTCACTTCCTGTTCTGAACCTGATATTTGAATCATATCACTATGAAATGCTTACCAAATCGCCTTTTTCTTTCTCCCAGCATCCTCTGGAGCCCACTCCCCCGACACTGCCCCGCCTTGTCCTCTCCGAGGCTGGGAGTGGCAAAAAGGAGGGGGCTGTAACGCCCGCTTCCTTCCAATTCTATTTCAAGTCCAAATAATGCTAAGATCGGAAGCTACAGCTGTCCTCCACGGTGGACGTTTGGGATCCACCCCCAGCCCCAAATGGCAAACGTGGCTTTGCCATGATAAAAGTGCCCTCGCTGTCTTGTGTCCTGCTCTGAACTTGACCTTAAGGTCTTCCAGTTTCACCCTGCTATTCAGAGATCATTGACTGGGCACATGTATCTAGAAGCTATGTCTATACTGTATCAAAACACACGGAGAGCACCATTCAGCCCCGGGCCCCTAACCCTACAGACCCACAACACACACGACCTTCATGTTCAAATCCCAGCCTGATACCCTGAGCACCCGGGGGAGGGAGGGGCAGGAGAGGAGAGCAGAGGTTAACCCAGACATCAGCCAAAACAAACACCACTTCCAGAACAGGGCAAACTTTGCATCTGGGCGGCTGCAGCGCCCCAAAAATGGCTGGAGTGCAGGGGGGAGGGGAGTGTCAGCCCATCTCCAGGGAGGAAGATCTAGCGCGCACCCCGCCTTGTGCAGGGACTCTGCTGCACAGGCAGCTGGATGTCCCCGAGAGACAAGGGCGTCTCCGCCATCCCCGGCTGCAGAGCCCTGTCGCTGCTACCTGACCGCGGTCCCTTGGCAGCCTTGCGCCGCCTCCCCAACCCGTCCCCACTGACCCGGTCCCTGCAGCAGCGCAGGGGCAGGGGCTGCGGGGACCTACCTGGTGCAGCGTCTCGGCGGGCAGCTGTGACGCCCGGAACAGCTCGGCCACGGGGCCGGCGGCTGCGGCGGCTGCACCGGGGAGCGCGCGGG